ATGGATCTTCTAATATAAATACCAGGTCATCTGCAAAGTCTTGCAATTTATACTCTTCCTTTTTGATTTTCATTCATTTCTTTGTCTTCTCTAATATTCCTATTCAACACTTCCAATGTTAACACAAACAGCAGGGGCGACAGTGGACAACCTTGTCTTGTCCTTTTTCTTATATCTATAGATTCTGTTAGTTCTCCATTTACCATAACCTTTGTAGTTTGTTCATAGTATATCATTTCAATGGCTTGAATGAATTTTTTACCAAAGCCCATTTGTTCCAATTGCAAAAACATAAATCGCCAACTCACATTGTCAAAGGCTTTGTGTGTCTAAAAACATCAAAGCCATTTGCTTCTCAGGATGTGTCTCATAGTATTCCAGAGCATCCAAAATAATTCTCACATTGTCTTTGATTTGTCTCTTTGGCAGGAATCCATTTTGATCAATATGGATAAAGTTATTTAAATATCTTTTTAGTCTTTCTTCCAAAATTGAAGCAAAAATTTTATAGTCTGAATTTAATAGGGATATAGGTCTATAATTTTTAAGTTGCTGCAGGTCTGTATCCTCCTTTGGTATAAGTGTAATATATGCTTCTGTCCATGTTTTGAGTATTCTTTTCTTTAACATAACTTCGTTCATAACTTCTAATAGGTGAAGATTCAATATTTCCTGGAAAGTCTTGTAAAATTCTGCTGGTAAGCCATCTAGACCTGGTGCTTTTCCAACATTCTGTTTTTTTAAGGCTTCTGTTAGTTCCATCATTGTTATATTCCCTTCTAGCATTGTTTCAGTATCTTTAGGTATCGGGGGTAAATTCACTTTCTGCAAATATTGCTTAACTTTTTCTTCTTGAATATTCTCTTGAAAATACAATTTCCCATAGTAATCTTGTATAATTTTTTTCTTCTCATTTCCATAGCAAGCATGTCCTTCTTCATTTATTAGTTGGCTAATCCTTCTTGATTCTCTCTCCTTTCTCAGTTTATAGGCTAGCCATCTACCTGGTTTATTTGCATCTTCAAAGTAATTGTGTTTAGCATTTTTATTTTTTTGTACTAATTCCTCTTTTTCTATTTGTCCCATTTTATGTTTAGTTATGTCCATTTAAATGTTAATCTCTTTTTTGCGGAAACTTCTGTAATTCTTTTTCCAGTCTCTTATAGTCATCTTCCAGTATTTTGAAAGTCTTTTTCTGTCTTATAATTCTTTTCCTTTTTATAGTCTATTATCAAGCCTCTTGTGTAGGCCTTCATCGTGTCCCAGAGGTTCTGCAAAGATGCATCCTCTTTTCTATTTCCTTTAAAAAAGAAAGCAAGTTCTTTCTCTATTTTCTGTTTAAAATCTTTTTCTTTTAATATAGTATTATTTAAGGTCCATCTGGTCCCATCTCTTATATCCTTTCCAAGTAACTGTCTCTGGATTATGGTCTGCCCAAGTGCTTGTTTCTATTTCAATCTCTCGTATGTTAGCCAGTAATTCTGCTGACATCCATATCATGTCTATTCTAGACCATGAAGCATGTCTGTTTGAGTAAAAAGTGTATTGCTTACTCTCCACATTTCTCTCTCTCCATGCATCTTTTAGGTTGAATTCTTCTGTTATTTGAAAGAAAGATTTTGGTAATATCTTTCTAGCTTTCTTTGTTGATTTCTGTGTTTTGTAGTCCAACCGATCATTAACTATTCCATTAAGATCTCCCATCATACAAATATTAGCATAGTCCAGTTCAAGTATTTTCATATGTAATTTCCTGTAAAATTCTTCTTGGTTATCATTCGGAGCATAAATTGCAATTAAAAGTGTTTTAACATTATTGTCCATTATTTCCACTATCAAAATCCTTCGATCGTCATCTGTGTAAATTAATTCCGCCAAAATTGTGTCTTTTATAAAACCACACCTCTTTTTTAAGATTGTGCCAGCGATGCAAATAATTTCCCTAATTTTTTTTTGTTTCAGTATATATTCATGTTGTTCTTTAATATGTACTTCTTGTAAGCAAATTATATATAATTTTAATTTCTCTACTTTATGAAATACTTTCCTTCTTTTAGTAGCCAAGTTAAGTCCATTTATGTTAATCGTAATCAATTTTCTTTCATCCATGTTAAGCTTTGTGAGGGGTTTTTATTACTCTAGTAGGTCTTAATTCTCACTGCTCTCTCTCTCTCTACACCACCTACTGCACCTTCTTCTTTCTCTTTTTCAATTACTGCTATACACTTCTCTTGGAATTCAATTAGTGACTCTTCCTTTCTAGCTTCTTCCTCCTTTCCTCTGAAATATTCCAAGTAGAATAGCTCAGCTTTTTCAACTGTGTCAATTGTGTGTCTTTGTTCCTGCCAGGAGAACAAGAGGCCTTCTGGCATCAGCCATCTGTAATTTACTCCTCTTTTAAGTAATGCTTTGGTCAAAAATAAATATTCTCTTCTCACCTCTCTTACTCTTCTTGGTATCTGTTTCAGCACCACAATTTCTTTATCTTTGTACTTTAAAGTTTTCTCTCTTGCCACCTGCAGTATCTGTGTCTTAATAATCTTTTTAGTGAATCTGATATGAACTTCTCTAGGTAGTCTGTTTCTCATTGCGTATCTTGTATAGACATGGAACACTTCATCCATCCCATCCATCATCTTCTCTTTAGTTATCTCTAATGCTTCTGCCAGTATTTCTGTCATTATTTCAGCAAGATTTTCACCTTTCCCTTCTTCTACATTTTGAAATCTTAAGTAGAATTCTGCCACTCCAAAAAAGAAAAAAAAAGAAAAATCTTCAGGCACTTATGTACCTTAATCCAATTATTTCTCTTAATAAAAGAGAGAAAAGGAAGAGGATAAAAAAAGAAGTAAAAAATTTACGTTCTAGTTTCTGGAATAGAAGGTTAAAATCCAAATATAAAAATCCAATTGGGCGGGGAGTAGAAAAGGAGATGGAAAATAACCTGAAGTTAAGCCAGCCACTGCTACTGAGTATCCAAGGCTCTTTAATAAATCAACTCAATGTTTCTGGTTCCAGTATTTTCAAGGTCACTTCAATCTTCTTTCTTTCAACTTCAGCTCAAAGCTCTAATTATTTAGTTTCACAAATGGGCACCTGTATAAACAATCTGTTATGCTCATCCCACTATCATTTCCAGTGCAAAGCTCAGAGTCCTTGAGTATAGCACAAGTACATGAACATATTGAGAAAAGAAACAATATGTCCAAGCGTCGAGATGGCAGTGCTACTTTTTTTCCCCTTCACTTTCACTCCCCCCTCATGTATCCAATACCAGAAACAAAAAAATGGAATCCTTCCCTTTTTTGAAAAAAAAAAAATTCAAATCCAAAAGAAGAGTCTTAATCAAAACAGACTTTCAAAAAATTGTTAAAAAAAATAAAAATAAAAACAAAGATGGAAAATTTAAAAAAACCCAGTCCAGTTTAAAATTCAGTAACTTTACCACCTCCAAATTCCAATAAAAAGAGAAAAGGAAAAAACTTTTGTTAGGGATAACATTGTTTACCCTAACTGGTTTGGGTAAAAATAATAA